GGGCTTTCTATCTCTGCCTCATTATCTAGAACACCACAGTAAATCCTCGGGAAAGAGCTGAGATGGGAAGCTGTGGTCAGGGAAGGAACCATGCACAGGAATATGTTCCTGGCTAATTGGCATGTGGTTTTCTGCTGACAGGAGTTCCCAGAGTACTAGTGAATTTGGTCAGGCAAAGACCACATTCACAGAAATTCACACTTTGCAGAGTGAAACTGTTTCCAAAAGCATGGCAGAAGAATGCTTCCTTCCTCCATCTATAATAGCTGAGAAGCATTAGTATTGACATGGGAAAGGAGCAGGAGAGAAGGAATACAGATCACAGATCGGTGCCCAAAGAGAGCTTGAAATGCAAGTGTTACAAAATCAAGCCCCACTCCATCACACGCCATGTGTCCAGGGATGCCACTCTGGCCAGCTGAAAGACAAAGTCCAACAGCAGCAAAAGCTACTAAGTTCTTGTTCCATCTGAAACAGACTGAAGGGCTAGCTTTGGGCAAAGGCTGTTTCAGGGGCTGCCCAGAAGTCAATTCATTCATAATACCACACAGAGGCAAAAAAGTAGGTGTTCACAGACCCTCAGTTGTCTCAAAGGTAAAGAACATATGACACTACAAAACTTAAAAGCACCTGGAGTTGATAAGGAGGTGGTGTATGCTGGTGGTGGTGAAGATGTGCTTGAAGTAGTTGAGGTGGGTGTTGGTGATCCAACAAGAGAGGTTGTTGTTGCCGGGGTGCTGGTGCTGGGGGTGGTGGTGGTGCTGCTGGAAGTCTCTGGGGACATGGTGGGCAATTCTTCTGTAGGGGATGCTGTGCTTGGTGTAGATGGAGGTGTGCCTGTTAGAAACAGCAGGGACAGAGAAAACAGACAAAGACACAAAGGTATCAGTAGGACTCGATATGAACTCAACAGAAGCTGCACATCAGGCAGCAATCACAGACACAGACAAGGCAGGGCACCCTTAGAACAACAAAGGTCTCCAGAGCCACCCCTCCCTTTCTGGCCATAAAAAGTAGAATCCTTGACATCCATGCACACACAGGATGGGACACAGTCCTCCTTGCCTAGTGAAGATACTGGGGATAGTGCTGGAAGGCACATCTCACAAAATCAGAGAGATCTACTGATAGGGAAGAGAGGAGGAAGTGTAATGCTTTTCATCTGCTGGGGACTTTCTATCTCTCCCTCATTACCTGAACACCTCACTAACTCATGGAGTAAGAGCTGAGATGGGAATCTGTGGTCACAGAAGGATGTTTGCACAGTAACAAGAGGATCAAGATCTCTACAGGAAAGGAGAACATAGAGCCCTGTATTCTTACTCCTTCTGAAACAACTAGCCCAAGGACCACCTTTGGGAAAGGCCATTTCAGGGGATACACAACAATTAGTTCAATCTCAGATCCCAGAGAGAGGCACAAATGGAGGGGCTCACAGACCTCCAGTTCCCCACAGCAAGGAAACACATGAGAACACAGATCAGAGAAGTACCTGGAGTTGGTGAGGTGGTTGTGGTGTAGGTTGGTGTGGGTGTGGATGTGCTTGAAGTAGTTGAAACGGGTGTTGTTGAGACAGGAGCAGTTCTTGTTGTCTCTGAGGTGCTGCCACTAGTGGTGGTGCTGCTGGGGGGCACACTGGTGGTGGTGGTGGTGGTAGGGCTGTAAGTCTCCACTGATGTTGGAGTGGTGGTTGATATTGGAGGGGACACACTGCTCGTTGTGGTGGTAGCTGTGGAAGTTGTGGTGCTCGTGGTGCTTGGAGTTGGAAGACACTCTGGTTTGTTGGGGGTGCAGCAGACACTGATCTCATAGTTGAGGCAGACTGGCATCGGTATTATACCTCCTATCTGCTGATCTTTATTGTTACAAATGAGCCCTACGTTAACATCACATTCCACTTTCTGCCCTAAATCTGCAATGGAAATGCTAGGGAATTTCTGTGCTCGGCATGAAATATTCTCAACTTTTGCACACTCCCAGGAGGGGTATTTCTTCCAAATGTTCTCAAAAGTTTCGTAGTCACCACCATTCCTGTCAGAACCATCTGGGTAACTCACATCGATCCAGTCTGTCCAGATGCACTCACACGCTGAGGAGACAACAAGACAGACAGTCAGAAACAGACAGGAGAGAGACAACAATGCAGGGCACCAGCTCACACACAGGTGGCGCCCTGGGCATCCCCTGCACTCAGCGGTGCCCCTCAGGCTGCTACTGCACTCAGCCAACACTGGCCATAAGAAAGCTCAGTGATCTGGCCAGGCCTCTCCTTCCTGGCCCTAAAAACCACTCCTGGCCCAAATCAGGACACAGGCACTCATGAGTTATGTGTGTGTGCCCCAGCTGTGGGGCACACTGCTTTGTATGGACTCTCGTCTGCAAAAAACCACACACCTAAGGCCCATACAGGAGGCAGAGTGTGGGACTAAGCAGAGACTCCTGTCACTCTCTCAGCTTCTTGGGCCGTGCACACCACCTCAATATCTCATGGAGAAACCAACCACTGGGAAAGCATCTGACGAACGACAGGGAAAGAGGGAAACCAGGCACAAGACACGCGCTGCTGACAAAGCCTCAGCTGCTTCCCAGTGCTTTCCAGCACCTCTCAGCAGCACACAGATTGCTGGAGACAAGCACCAACAGGAAAGCTGGTAGAATCCAGCTGCCCAGAGCCTGGGTCTGTCAAAAGTGGCAATCTGAGCTCTGAAACCAATCCCCAAACTCTGCCAGCTAAAGCCGTGGAAGAACCCTACAGCCCAAACAGCTGGAAAGTCGCAGCAATGGCCGCAGAAACACAACAGCAGAGAAAGGGAAGTAGGTCTGCACAGCTGTGCCCAAACAGAGCCTGAAATGCCACTGCCACAAACTTTAGCTGCAGTCCAACTGCACACCTTGGGTCCAGTGACTACATTCTGGGCAGCTGAAGGACAAGGTCCAATGGCAGCAAAAGCAACATTCCCATCACTTCAGTATCTGTCTAATCTGGGCACAACTATGAAATACCTCCTTGGAGTACTGTTGAGGCAGGGAAGACAAGACCTTCTCCCAGGGTCCCCTAAATCCTTGTTCCTTTCAAACAGCCAGAACAAGGGCCAGGTTTAGCCACAGGCTGCCCAGAAATTACACCCATCCCTGATCCCTTCCAGAGCCACATATGGAGGTACTCATGGATCTTCCCTACTCCCATAGCAAGGCCAGAAACAACAACAGAGCCAGAGAATTATTTGTGGTACTGTAGTTGGAGGCACAGGGCTTTTGGCGGGAATTTTTTGGTTTTGGAACATACGTTCAGGAGTTTGGCTGGTTGGTGTAACAGTTGTTGTTGTTGTCGTCGGTGCACTGCTGCTGGTGGTGCTGCTGCTGGTGCTGGTGCTGGTGGTGGTCTTGGTGCTGCTGAGAGTCTCTGTTGACGTAGAAGTGGTTGTCCATTCCGATGTAGGGGATGCTGTGCTTGGTGTGCCTGTTGGAAACAGCAGGGACGAAGAAAAGAGACAAAGGCACAAAGGCATCAGTGTGACTCAGTGTGAAATGAACAGAAGTTGTCCATGAGGCAGTTGCCACAGACCTAGAGGGGTCAGGCCACTCTTAGCACAGCAACGATCTCTAGCACCAGTCCTTCCTTTCTGGCCTCAAAGAGAATAATCCTTTACATCCATGCACAGAAAGTGTGATGGCCCCCCTTTCCTAGCTAGGAGACTCGGGATGCTGCTGGAAGGTGCTTCTCACCATATCACAGAGACCTACCAGTAGGTAAGCAATGAGGACGAGTAATACCTTTTTATGTTGCTGGGACTTTCTATCCCTGCCTCACTACCTGAGCACCTTGCAAATCCTTGCAGTAAGAGCTGTGTGGTGAACTCATCGTCAGAGATGGTAGTGTGAAAAGGAGTAAGTTCCTCTCTGACTCTCATGAAATTTCCCTCTAGTGGAATCTCAGCCTGATGAAGGGCTTCCCAGATTTCTAGCAGATGTCATCACCAAAAGGCTACAGTTCACAGGAAGTGGCATTTTTGAGGATAAAACTGTTTCCAAAAGTGTCCCAGTGTAATCCTTGCTTTTAAGATCTAGAACCATTTTCATCCACTTGTACTGACATGCCAAAGGAAGAGGAGAAAGGGAAGAAAGTCTGCCCAGCTGTTCCTAGAATGACAGTTTCACAGACTAAAGTCCCACTCCAATTGCCCTCCATGTGTGGGTCCAGTGACTACATTCTGGCCCGTTGAAGGACAAGGTCCAATAGCAGGAAAATCAATAATTTCCATCAGTTCAGCATCTTTCTAAGGTGGGCGCCAGCATTTTGAGTCAGGGAAGCCAAGACCTTCACCCTAGAACCCCTTAATCCTTGTTCTTCTTAAACAGCTGGCCGAAAAATCAGCTTTGAGCACAGGGCACAGGGCATGAGGGGATGAACAGTAATTCCTCCAATCTGCAATCCCATGGAGACACACTGAAGTAGGGGCCAAGGCACCTTCATTTCTCCCATGCAAAGGAACACATCAGAGAACAGTCCAGAGAAGTACCTGGAGTTGGTGTGGTGGTGGTGTATGTTGGTGTTGGTGAGGATGTGCTTGAAGTAGTTGAGGTGGGTTTTGTTGATCCAGTAGTAGTGGTGGTTGTTGTCGGGGTGCTGGTGGTGGTGGTGGGAGTCTCTGGCGGCGTAGGAGGCGTTGTCGGTTGTGGTGTGCTCGGTGTGGGTGGAGATGGGGCTGTTAGAAAGAACAGGGACAGAGAAAACAGACAAAGATACAGAGGCATGAGTGAGACTCAATAGGAACTGAACAGAAGCTGTGCATGAGGCAGCAGCCACAGAGCTAGAGAGGTCAGCTCACCCTTAGCACTGCAAAGGTCTCTGGCACCAGCCCTCCCTTTCTGGCCCCAGAAAGCAGAATCCTTGACATCCATGCACAGAGAGGGTCATAGCCCTCTTTTCCTAGCTAGGACATTAGGCATACTGCTGGAAAGTGTTTCTCACAAAATCAGCAAGACCATGTCAGCCTTAAGAAGGAAGCCTGTGCAACCCCATCCAGATAATGCCTCTAGCAACAGGAGTTTGAAGCATGGCCTACTCTTTTCTCACACAGCAAGTCCTTCTGGGAATATTGTCTCCAGCAGAAACTTAAAAGTCCAAACTCTCTTAAGTAAGACTTCCTTGCAGACCAATGTTTTCTATGACTGTGACCTGCCTTTAGTAACCAACAGCCCTATATTTCTCCAAAGGCAAAATCATGGAATATTTTTCGGTTAAATACCTGAAGTTGTTGAAGTTAATGGAGTGAGAACTGATGGTGTATACTCACATGTTGTGGAATGGATGTCTATGGGCGGGGTGGTAATTTCTGTTGAAGTCCTGGTTGTAGTGGTGCTGGCTATTGTTGTCTGGGTGGTGGTTGAAGTTGAAGGTATAGTAGGTGTAGTTGTATGCTCACAAGGAATTTCTTGCCACTCACAACAGTTTACTCTGATTTCATAATTATAGCAAAGTGGCCACATAGTTACATCTTGCTCATCATTTTTACAGATTAGCCCATATTTAACATTGCACTCTACTTTCTGACCAAGTTCTTCTAAGCTCACATCAGGTTTATCCTTAGCCCTGCATTCAATTTCTTCAGGAGCTGTACATATTTTGTTTCCATGTTTTCTTATTTCATCATATGTTTCGTAGTCACCACCACCTTCTTCAGGTTTACTAACATCAAACCACTCTGTCCAATCACAGATTAGTTCTGTGACTACGCATGGAGCTGCAAGAAAAGACAGAGGTTTCAGATTTTACAGAGAACATCCTGAGAAGATCCATTTTTTATTTTCTTCCATTAACGACTAGAGGACTGCATTGCAATATGTAATTGTTCCAAAGAAAAGTTCTAAAATTGGTTCTGTATTACGAGGTCTTTAAACTGGAAGTTTTGCATCAAAATAAAATCACCAAGCTACATCCTTTAAAAGTTCTTCTTCTCTATATATTAACAGCACTTTTGAAATTACAAAAAATAAAATTCATTTTTGTTTAAAATATATTTTTTCTGTATTAATTGTCTTTAATTTACTCTTCCTTTAAATATTCCTTTGACATTTTTAACAATATTGTTTTGTATTTATAACTTACTTGTAGTGACTGGGTGGCTTGTGGTGGAAACTGAAATAGAAAAAAAAGAGATTATAATTTCAAAAGAATTAGTATTTTTTTTTGTTGACATTCCTAACATTATTTCTACTATCCCATTAGGATATTGAAAAGCTAACATCTTTTTTCAAAAATAGGAAGGTATCCTATAATATATACTTAAAATTTCTTTCATGAGAAATAAATAAACTCAAAATGCTAAAAGTCTTTCATAGTGTGGTGTGATAAAACAATCCATAAATATTGCTCTATCTGTGTCAACTATAATCCCATATAATTGTACATTCTATATTTAAAATATTTTCCTTAAAGAAAACAATTTTTAGATCACATCTGTATTAATGATTTACCTGTGGTGGTGGTGGTAAGAGTACTGTGAGGGGAGGAGGTTGAAATGGTTGTAGGTGAAGATGTTGGACAGGGATAGACTTCACCAGGAACTACAGAGCCATTTTCTGCACAAATGTATCTTATACATGTGTCACCGTCCTGTACGACTCCCACAGTAGCACCCTCTTCATAACTCGTTCCATTGATGACACAAGGACATCCTGCAAGAAAGCTTTACTGTGCAATTTTTCCACTACCACGTAAGAGGCAGAGGCAAAATACTTATGGACAAGAGAGCATTTACGTGAGTCATGATTGTTTTTCAGCTCCTGTTCCTGGAGCTTAGATCTACTGTATTGTGCTAATTTATCTTTACATTTAAAGCAATGTTAGAACATATTTAATCAAGTCCTGAATAAAATGCCTGATGGTACAGACTTAGAAAGTAAATGTTCTAAGAGAAATAATAATTGGAATTTACTATCTGACAGCTTCATATTAATAACTACATGTTCAGGAAGTGCTAACTTGTAGTGAAATCCATTAGTTTCGATATGGGATGTGGGGAGAAAGACTGAAAGGGCATGAGAAAAAGGTTTAACCAAAAGTATTAACAGCAAAGTTCAAAAAAAGTGCTGCCAAATTTTCTTTAGTCACAACTTTCACTAGCACCGGAAAGAATTATTCTGAATCAATACTAAGCCTTCCTATAGTCAGAGAGAGCAGTTCTGTGCATTTGCTTTTCTTTTTGTTTCCAGAAAAAGTCAAACGTTATTTACCTGGGACCGGTTTACACTCTATGGATCCTGATGGGACACAGATACTAAAAGAAAAATTTTCAAAAATTAAAATGTTGCTGATGTTTCATTGCACTTGTTAGCAGAATCAAGAGCACAGAAACATAGATATTTGTCACTTGATCTTCATTAACACTACTGCATATTTTTCTGGGTATATTTTCTAGTATTGCCTACCATTTTTCCTTCAAACTAAATCACCACTTTCAGTTCAATTGTGAGTTGCAATACTGCAATAACAACTGTTTTGCAGAGCGAACTTTCAGCTAGATCAGATTATTCTCTGGTCCCCAAGTGGAGCCAGAGGTGTAAGTGCTGTCATTGCTAACACTCTAAGCATGAAGAGTTAGGACTCAACTATCTCTTTCAGGGCAAGAGTATTTCAGACTACAGTGGTTTTGAAGTCCCAGTTTTAAGTGAGAATGCAAGGCAGAGTAGCCCCTCTTCCCAAAGAGTAGTGATAATTGAAAGGTTGTTTTAGAAGTTCATTGAGGTTTCATTATATAATTTATGACAGTTGACAGGTATAATTACTGAATTTGCTAGTACACTTATTATAATAACAATACCAACCTAAAATCTGTGTTATTATGAGTTTGGAAAATTATGAAATGCAAGAATATATTAGCTCTTCAGCTGAAGTTGCATCTCTATTTATTTGAGGCCCAGTAAAGTAAATTAAGGACTCTGCATACACTAATTATTTCCTGAAATACCGCAAGTAATTTTTATATACCATGTTGTACAGTTTTCCTCTGTGGGTACTTCTTGCCAAGGGGGCACATAGGTTCCATCCTCGAGGTAACATCCACATTGATCTCCAGTCACACATTGCTTTGTGTCTTCATTGTAAATAGGCTTGTCCTTAGGGCATCTGGGGTAGCAACCTTTTGATGACAGGTAGAGCAGAATAAGGATGAAGAAAATGTACAAAAAGTTACTTTTGTACCTTCTGAAAGTAAACTATTCTCACTGAATCAAGCATAGTGAAAGAAATCTAAAACTTCCCATTCAAATCAAGCTGTGAAAAATTAGTCTTTCCAAAAGACTTCAACAGTTCTCATTGATAATACTGGTGTGAGGAGGATTAAGTAAGAAGTTTTTTTATGAAAACTAGTAAAGTTTCTTTTTCTTAGTTCAATACCTTGGAGAAACCCCTAATACATACTCATTTCTATGGGCAACTAGTAGTTTTAAGACAAAGAAATACCCCAATCTTTGTATAGATCACTATATAAATAATATTTTTGTGCAGAATATGGAAGCAGATTCACTAACAAACAGGTTTTCCACTACATTTCTTGGAACATTAGGCATTGTTTATATGCCTAGAATACACCAGGTGTCCCTACCTCAAACAGATAATTTATCTATGGTTTTCTTTACCCATAGGCAGTGATCCAAACTTTACTGCAAGGAATTAATTGACTGTCAATTGTAATTCATTTTTTCATGTAAATACAGCTTAAAATATTATTCTGTTGTTATTACTATTATTATTATTATATTTCCTTCCTCCAAATAACCTCTTATTAAGTCCAATTATTAATGACATAAAGTTCTCTTTTTACTGTACTGATGTTCTAAATAGCCTTTAAACTGAAGCACCATGTAATTAGCTGGTACTTAAAAGTCACTTTACACTGCCAGACTGTACTTAAAATGTCCTAACAAAAATAGGTGTGCTCTAAATTTCTATTGAAATTAAGCAACAAAAATAATTCAGAAATATAATTGGATATATGATAATCTGCCTTCTGACACTTCCCAAATCTTATCTTCTAAGAATATAAAATAATTTATTTTAAAATGCAGAGTCTTGTTGGGTTTTTAAAAAATATTTTGGTTGGGGATTTTAGCTGATTTCTAGTAGGTTTTTTTGATATGTTTTTTGGGTTGTTTTTTTTTTTTTTTTCTCTTTTTTACTTTTTTTGGTTTTGTTCGGTTTGGTTTGTTCTGTTTCTCTTGAGTTTTTGTTTGTTTGATTTTTTTCTTTCAATTTTTTTACTAGCAGTTCAAAGCAAAGTCAAATTCAAGGCATTTCTTGCCAATCCCTAAACTGGAGATAACTGCTTCCAGTACAGACCAAAAAGACTTTATGGCTAAAAATACAGCTTCTTTCTCCAGCTTAACCATGTAGTAAACCAGGAGATACTTGTAAAGTCTTTCACATTCTTGGATCATTAGAGTCCTTTTAATGTGAAATTCCTGTTCCATTATCAACCACAAGGACTGCCACCTACTAATATCTCATCTGCAAAGAAAACAGAATCTCCAGTATGAATCCAATATAAAGCAGCATCAGTGTGTCTGCTACAAAAGATATTTTCCAGTGTAAAGGTAGGTGAATATTTCAGACTAATCTAGTAAAGGCAAGATGATCTGGTACATAAAAAATGATAAGGTTAAAAATACCCAACTATCAGTGACTTGCTTCTTTGTCATATTGAAGATTTTCCTGCTTGTAAAATACTTTTGCACGGGATTCAAAATAACCATGATGTAATAATAATGCATGTTTCAGGACATTATCCAAGCAGAGAACTAGTTTTGTGGCTGACAGCAATGTAACTACCACCCATTGATGTTAATAAATAATACATTACATTATAGGAAACATTTATGTAAGACTGGAGGCAAACTCAGCATAGCAGTTTTAGGAACATCTCATCAAGTTGACTAACTAATCCATAATTATTAAAAGATATCCGAAAAAAGTTATACAAAACACAATATTAAGTGGCAAGGAATTTATTACCTTCCAGTAATGGTACTGTAAAGTTGGTGCTGACATTGTTGATCATCCTGCAGGTTGTGATATTACTGCCACAAGGCTCATAGTGCCAGTCACACTCATTGCGAGGGTTGTAGTAGTCACAGAATATCGCTGATGAGAAAAGAGAGAAGCTGATTAAAAGCAAGCTTACCAGAATGCACTTCTGAGAAGGCCTTTTAAGGTACAAGCTATATCAATCAACTAATTAAGCTGGCCAAATTTCTCTTGAGGTAAACGACCTGGACTTTTTCCTACTCTGCTTACATTTAGGATACATCAAAACACTGGTGCCCAAGACTGAAATTTTAAATATTCAGGCCATTGGGTAAAAATGCTTCAAATCATAAAGAAAATCTATTTTAAATTTTTTTTTGTTTAAAATTAAAGGTATATTTCTGACAGTATTTTTCTTCCGTAGCTACTAGCAAACTCCTAAATATTTTTCGGTTTCATACAAAATAGTTCCAGCTTTATCACACAGGCTGAAAGTCCAAGAGGAAGCATATGAGCCACTATGAATACAACTTATATTCAGCTTACACGACTAGAGACAGAGGAAGGAGTTTTTATTAACTTATATAGCAGAGCTGAATTAAACTTGCAACTTTTTTTTCACTGGCTTCTTACACTTAAAAGCTCCAATTAATCCAAATTTTTAATCTGAATGATTTTTTAAAATTAAAAAATTATATATTTCCACTACTTAGAATCTCAACATTTTGATTTGAGTGCTTTTTGGGCAATATTAATTTAAATACTATTTTACATTAATTTATGATGTACTGCTATGAGTACTAGCACCACTAATGGACACCACTTAATATACGCAACGCAGATTAGGTTCAGGGCTACAGCACGGGAGTGCTATATAAAATCAAATTCTGAGTAATTTGAACAACGGAAAGAGAGAAGAGAAGAGAAGAGAAGAGAAGAGAAGAGAAGAGAAGAGAAGAGAAGAGAAGAGAAGAGAAGAGAAGAGAAGAGAAGAGAAGAGNAAGAGAAGAGAAGAGAAGAGAAGAGAAGAGAAGAGAAGAGAAGAGAAGAGAAGAGAAGAGAAGAGAAGAGAAGAGAAGAGAAGAGAAGAGAAGAGCCAGGCTGAACAGAAAACAGTTGAAATATACAAATTTACTAGCCTGTTTGTTCCTTGATATGCTGAGAAAAGGTTTCACCAAGTCACCAGCATTACCTTGCAGTAACAGTACTAATGATTTATTTGACTGGCTTTCTGACCGCAGCTAGAAAGATACAGTTGTATTTATCTGTTACTCACGGCAGATATCAGGAGTTCTCCAGAAAACACAGGCCTCAGCCTTGATGCACTCTTGGGCATACGCTGCAACTGCAGAGCAGAAGCACTCGCAGTCCCCACCGCTGTCACAGGAGCAGGCATCATGAACACAAGCCTCATAGTAAGGAAGTGGGTCCACCTGTCAGGGGAAGAAATGATGCTCCAGTTCATCTCCAAATTAGTTTTCAAACTAATATGTTTGAGAGCTCTTGATAGGTAGGAATTGAGCTAGGAAGGAATGAGACTGTGCCTAAGAGTTACCAAATCACAAATACAGGCTTGAAGGTGCTCAATATGTTTTGGGGAATAATAGACTTAAAATAATATAGCTCCTTCGTAAGTTGCTATAACTGAAAAAACAAAGTAAGAGTCCTTGGCAGTGCTCACATTTTCTAATAGAGTTTCATTTTAGTGGTCCCAAAACCAAGCTGAATTGGTTGGCCAGTAAAATCTTCCAGCAAGCTTTGCCAACCAAATGGTAAACAATGTCAGAAAGGCTGCATTCACAGCAAATATGAAGCATGCAATTTTGTGCCTAGCAGTTTTTGGAGTTTATCCAATGACACATTAAAAAAAACTTTTTTTTTTTTTTTTTTTTTAATTTGAGACTGCAAGAGGAAAAACTTAGACTGGATTTTTGCTGCTGAAGTAAACCACATGGAAATATATAACAAATTATTTAAATTAATAACTGTTTGCGTCTTTTCCACAGTGAGTTAAGAACAAATTGTTGTTAATATTACCATGCATCAGGAAAGAACTGAGAAATAAAAAGAAGCACTCTCTGTGCACTGTAATCTGGAAGCTGTGGGCTGTCACAGTGTTTGCTGTGACAATTTGGAGGCACAGTACCAGCAGCTGTCTGTCTAAACTGTGTGATGTCAGTGGTGTCTAAAAAGATCCTTTTTATAGTGTTGAATATCCTTGAATACTACAAGAAGTAGTGGCCTCTTCAACAGCCACCTTTCATGTTTAGTACAAATTTCCATCAGGAGATGGATCTGATGATTGTAAGGTCCTTCAGTACTTGTAATTCTGACTGTCTCTAAACAAGAGATGGTGCAACTGCAGTGAATACAGGCCTGTTCAGGATACATTTTTGAAGCTAACTTGCAGAGTAGTAGCAGTGAAACTGTGGTGATGAAAATGGGTTTGTACAGCTGGGGCTGTCACCACTACTGACACAGTCCCATTGCCACAGAGACTAAGACTGCTTTGACTAAGGCCACATGAAAGTTCTGACGCCTGTAGCTGTACTCAAGACTTAACTGAAGATCAATCTATTTAACTATCTCTTCATTCATTTCTGATGGTTTTGCATTATCAGAAATGCACTGTGCTGTCCCATCACCTACTGTCTTCTACAAACCTTGGAGTGACAAATTTTGAAGACTTCACTCTGGATGATGCTGCATTCTTTCTCTGCCCAAGACTTCCGGTGTGGTTTCAGATCACAGGGCTTAATCTCTTCTGTGACATCTGGGCACATGGGAGATTGTTTCCAGGAATTTCCAAAATTCAGAGGATTATTGTCCTGCAGTCCACTCCTTGTTGTAAAATCATTGTTTGCCTTGTCATCAAAGTTGCCACACAGACCACACACTTTACCCTGGAAAAGAAAATTGAGTTTTTAAATATACCATGGAAATGAGAAACAGGCTCCGGCAAAGTAAGAGAAAAACATTGACGTGAAAAATGACAAATAACTGTCTGTGTAAATGATGACTTTCTTATTTACTGTCAAATCATTTGTGCAGAAAATAAATTTTTATTTGTCTGTCCTCAGCAAATTATTCAGCTGCCATGTCTTCCCTCCTTGAAATCATTTATATCTAATGTATTTTCATATCACTGTCTCCATATCCAACTTAAAACATTAAAGGGTGCCCAAGCCTCTTACAGCTGAGAAGTATTATTTATTCTCCATTCTCTACTCAAAGCTGTTTTTATTAAAAGTTTCTAACATAATGATCAGCATTTCTTCATTCATGGAAAAGAAATTACAGGGACCCATTTTTCTTGAAAGAAAATGTATCAATCTTCCCTCAATGGTGAATTTTTAGTAGTGTTATTTAAGGTCCACCAATCCCCTCAAGTAACAGTATGTCACTGTTTGTACAATGCCTCAATATTCTTCAATTCAGTATGCTGAATTTCAGGAACCAGAAGCATGGCCGTACATTGCATTGGGAGTTTGGTTTTAACGCAGGGCTGAGATTGCACATAGGTTTCCAAGCACATGTGCAGTCAGTCCACATCCCCTAAATTATTCTGGATGATGGCTATTAATACTCAGAAACTCAGAAACATTGCCTGAGATGTTTATCTCTATTGGAATAACATCTTATGCATTCTGTGCAATGCATTGTGATATACTGTAAGAAACCCCAGAAGCACTTCTGCAAGCTGTGACTGTAACAATGCAAGCTGACCATTAGTGCACAGAGGATATAGGAGTTAGACATGGAGTCAGAATAAAAGAACATTTATGTTCTTTTATGTTTCCTTGTCTATTCACAATACTACTTCAGAAGAAGACAGACAAGCACTAACCTTGTAATCAGGGCTCAGCTTGATGAAAACAGTAGTCTTCTTGTCCCAGATCAGCATCACACCATTGCTAGCCTCAATAACCAGGTACAGGCCGACTGTCCTGTTCCAATACTGCACATCATCACCAACATCTCGCTGAATTTCTTTGTACTCTTTGTTCTCCAATTTCAGCTCAGTTTTCTGAAAGATAAAGGAGAAGTATTGTAACACTAATTTCTATGATGAGACAAAATATTAGACACTTTTAACAGTGCAACTCATTCTGCAACCAGTATCTCAGACTCTGGGATGACTTCCAAGATGGCAGAGAGTGGTGTAGCACTTCTGTTTGAGAGAGTTTTCATCACCTGAGAACCTACACCTTTGCAGAATAATTTGCTAGGGCCTCTAATGCTTGTTACAGCTGCTTTTAGGGGCTTGACTTCAGAGCATTAAATTTTTGTTAATACTTGAGTACTGATATATACTGACTGTCATCACTCACCCCTAGGAACATTTTGATAGCCTTTGAGCAGGTGACTCCTGTAGTTCCACAAGGAACATTCTCTGTGATGATACTGAATGAGCCACTGGAATTTTTGTCACCGCAGAAGTCCTATTGAAAAAGAAAAAAAAGAACATGAGAAAATTAGGTAGAATATTTAATCGTAGTCCAATCTCATAAGAATTGCAATCATTTAAATCTTCACAGTGTATAAATAGTTACTGCTCCTTCAAATGTGAGATCCTGCACGCACATGTTTTTACAGATGCGTAGCCATGCATACATCTAAACAGTTAACACAGTCTCAGCCTGGGAAAAAGAGTGGGACAATGAAACAAAGTAAGGAATATATCTTTAAATAAAAGTTTCAAGTATCTAAGCTTAGAATTTGGATTTATTTCACAAATTATAATTGGCTCTCACTGTAACATAGTTCTGTTCCATGTAATTTATTATATCTATATTTGAAAAAAAAGAAAAGCCACATTCACACAGCTTGCCTGCACTGAAAATACACAATTTATCCTGGCAGAATGTGTGAAATCCTTGGGAACAATGATGACAGGCAATAAGGAATGACAAAACCAAAGAGGAAAGTAGATTTTCAAGGCAATCAAATTCATTTTCAGCCCTCCTGATGAGCATTACCTGAGTAGCCACATATTCACAGCTCCCATCAAAGTCATAGAATTTCCCATCAAAAGTGTTATAATGGCCGCTTCCATATATCATACAAGTCCCATAGCACACGTCCTCAGTGCATTTCCAAACCCCTTTCTGGCAGGTGCTAGAAGAGAGCAGAGAAGTTGAATTTTCAGATCTCACCAAGAGTGTGCTGTTTGAAGAACTGCAGAACAAACCAAGCAACTGCCGGATATAATGTGATAATACGCAAAATATCCAAGCCTCAGCTTCAACTGATAAGCCTGTTTTTAAGCCTATAACATGATTTTCACTCTGGTGAGCTACAATCTTTAGATTTGATAGCCTTTATGTTTAAAAAATGAGTGAATTTTCCCAACAAGAGATGCCTACTGGAAACAGAGGTAACCACCACCCCCATATTCCAGCAGAATCTATATTTTCTGAGATAGCAAAAAGTATTCCTGAAAATTAAGGATGATACTTGCAGCTTTTGCAGCTGCTGTAGCACATAAGCCTAGATATGACTATGAATATAGTGCATAGAATATATTCAAGAAGAGAATATTCACTTATAACTCACCAGGTGTTGCAGTCCACTTTTATCTTGCCTCCAGAATGATACCACTCATTGTTGTGAATGCATGGGCAATCTTTTTGCTCGACACAGCCCCCTCTGCCATCATCAAACAGACCTTCAGGGCACACACAGCCTGAGACACACTCTGTCTGGAACTAAGGAATATAAGGAGAAATGGTTACCTTATGACAAAGCACTGCATCCTAATTCCACTTCTTCACACTTTAAAATCTGCATTTAGAACTACACAGTCTAATATTGATTAGTTTTACAACGTGTTTTTTTTCTAGGTTTCCAATGTTTTTCTTTTCTTTTTGAATTGTGTAAGAACTCAAATTCTTTTTTGCTTGGAAATCATAACTCTAGTGAAGATACAGTAAAGAGAAGAGGGAAACCATTGTGAAAATGGCAACAGATTATTATCATTGGGGGGGGGAAGTGTAAATTAAACCAAAGAGAAACAAACTGCTAGTTACAACTGTATTTGCTGTGTAGCACCATGTCATGTAAAGAATACAGAATAAAGAAAGCAAGACACAAAGAAAAGTTGAATACATACGTGATCGGTTTGAGGAGTATGACAGCTAAGTTGTAGAGGTGTTTGGGAAGTCCACTTCGAGAATGCATTGCAGTCAAAGTATGTCTTGTTAGAAGAACATTCTGTTTCACCTGGAAGATAAATTGTTGGTTTAGATCAATCAAGGCAAAAGAAATGCAGTGAAAAGTGGTAGTTCCTCAGACAGAAATCTTGGTCTATCCTTATGAAAAAAATAGACTTACTGAAGAGAGAACAAAGTGATAATGTGTTACTGTTTTACATAAAGGGGAAAAAAAAGGGGAAAAAAACATGTAAAACAAGTAAATGGAGAATTCAAAAAGGGAAGTAGGTTTGGGTTGGGAGGTTGGCTATAGATTTTATTCCAGTTTAGTTTATAGAATGTCACTTACTTCTCATTCTTAATTTCACTGAAGTGCACTGGATCTTTGCATTTCGGCAAACACTAGAAAAGTGAAGTAAGTAGAATTAAAAAAAAAAAGCAAGCTCAATATCTTCAATTTAAGTCTAAGGACTGGTTTTTATAAATTTGAGAGTATTTATTAAAGATATCCTGCATAATTTCTACTGGAATTTCAAGGCAAATTCTATTGAATTACAGTCATTAATTTTTTTGTTGGAGAAAAAGTGTAGCAAGATTTTAGGCATAATGCACAGAAATGTTATGTTTTAAGAAATGACAGCTATTCTATCAATCTTTGATACTATGTTCTATGACAGCTCAGGAATTAGATAGTAATGACACATAATAATTATAATTTAAATGAAAGCCTCCATTTGGATACACAGTGTATTTTCATGACTATTGAATTTATATGTTGCAAATTTGTTGACCTATATGCTTCTTCTGCTGGATGAAAGAAGGAATTTCACAGTTTGCACTGATGACTCAGGCAGCAAACTGTTGCCAGAGACCATGGGAAAATATAAAAGAACCATAAATGTTGTTTTCAAAAGCCTATGTTACAGTGAATACATATCAAGGGACCTTCCTCCAGTGGAAAACAAGCAATCTGCATTTGCTAGAAAAGCAAACATAACACATAGGCCTTTTAGCTTCCTTTCACCACTCTGCCTAACAAAGCCTAATTAACACTGCAGCTTCAGAATAACATTTATCTGTGAAGGCCAATACTCAAATCTCCAAAGCAAGCTGCATTTCTCAATTATTGATAAATTACATTGCAATTATCATTGCATTGAATAATGCTTTGCTTAGCATGAAGATGATGTGAAATGCATGAGAAATACTGATTAGAGTATCAAAAAACCTAAGCACCTTACACCTAACAAGTAATTTTTAAAGGGCTTTTTCCCCACAAAAATGAAGCCAAAATAAAACATACCAGCGTTCTCCATCTTTTGTGAAATACTCCCCAGGTTCCAGGTATGATCCCTTGTAATAACATGGGCACTGGGAGATGGGCACACAGTTATCCTGGTTATCCAAGTATGTATTGGATGGGCAGCCACAGCCATCCACAGGGGCAAAGTCTTGCAAGCAATACTTTTCACCATCAGCAAGGGAGCGACAGGTTTGCTGGCACATTGTAAGGTTGTAAAGGAAGACTTGATTTCCTGGGCAGGAAGATGCTTCACTGCCTGGAGGGGAAAAAACCAAACTGATAATTAAGGGATGCAGGATGGAAAATCTGGCCTTAACATTTTCATTTTGCTTTCTTTGGCTGTGCCGAATGTAGTGATAAAAACATTCCCTTACATCATATTAAAGTATCAGAAAAATATCAGAAGTCACAAGTAACACTAACCTAACTTTACCAGTTGAAGACTTATTTTTAACTGCTACTAACAGTTTCTACTTTCATAGCCCTATCTGTTTCACATACTGATAATCAGATAGTGAGCACAATATAATAAACTGCTAGTCTCTAACATACTGAACTGTTGATGTAGAGCAAGCATGATCAGAAACAAAGACATTGATAAACAAATGCACAGTAAAAGCCCTGATGGCTGGGATTCCATTAGTAAATGGAAACCTATTAGCTACACTGGGAAAAGAAGATGACAGTTAAAAATATTGCTTTCTGCTTTTAAGTACAAAAATTGCAAATTACATCTGAAGAATATAATGCGAATTTGTAAACATTATCAGCATTGTCTCTTTTTGGTCCTTTAGATACTCCAAATCCCTTAACAGTGAGATGGAGAACTAACAACCAAATTCAAGAGAGAGACTGCTTATTTCTCATGGTTAATTATTTCCACAGGGATTACTGTTCCATTACTTACTGCAAACACTCTTTCTCCAGTCTCCCAGTATGATCCCTTTGAAAGCACAGGCTCTTGAGTAAGAGGACAGGGCAGCACACAAACATTCTTCATTGTCTTCACAGAGGCAGGTGTCATATTTACATTTCTGAAAAAAAAGAACAAAAGGGTCAGTAAGTCCACAGGAAATCAATGGGCAATTGCAACTTGAATGTCCTGTCAGCTTTTCCTGATGTTGTTTGTATTAATTCCCATGACCACAGAACAGTGAAAGGAATGGACAAAGACCAGAGAGTTAAAGTGCTGCTTCATTTAACACACAATGAAAATACTTGGATGCTTATTCTAACCTAAGCCAAGTCTCTTGAACCTTTAAAAAGTAGTCAGCCTCCTAAGAACACATTTTTCGAAGGATATTGATACCATTCATTCTCAGTAACTAATTAGAAATTCAGAGAACCACAAAAACTACAATAATAAAGGCAAAATAATAACTAGGTCTACGAAGACCTTTACAACGTTTGAGCTCACACTGACTTCCAAGTATAAGCAATGATTTTAGAATTCCTTTTCCTCAGGTGAGTCTCCATTACTGCTCAACAGAGATGAGCACAGGGGAAAAGAATTCATGGAGACTCTGGCATGAAAGTGATTTGGTGTTACATTCCAACCAATATATGGTTGGAATTTCCCCCCCACTTTAGAGAAACTAATGTTTCTAAACTTAAACTGTGCACATCTGCAACTCTTGAGTCTTCTTTTCAGTCCAAATATCCAAGCCAATAAACATGTCACAAAAAGGAAAAAAGCAAAATAAAAAAATGTACATTTTTATTCAGCAGCAGCCCATAAGGATCTCATCACATGAGACACTTTGCATGCTATGTTGCTTGAATCAGTCAATGAAAAAACTTCAGCATGGCTTATGGACAAGTTACTCACTGATGTCTCAAATGTTGAAACAATGATCAAGGTCTACAGTTAACCATCTGAAATAATGCAGTACTTAAAGAGTGCAAAATTATAATACCTTATAGTATTCTGAAGGATCAACGGCTATGTGACATCTTGCAAAAGGACCCTTTGGGTTTCTCAGCAAAGAGCACCAATGCTCAGCATAATTTGCTGCAAAAAAAAGAGAAATTAATGACATCTCCTTATCTTCTTTGTGTCATGCCTAGCTATGCTGATGCATAAATGCAGTGCAGAAATATGTATGAGAGAACTGTGTGCATTTTGGGGAGTGGAGAAACTACATGTAATCACCACACATATACTTCTAATTCTTCAGAGACATGCAATCATAAAATCAAACACTGCACTGTAGTTTTGCAATTTGTATACATGGAATTGTGACAGCTCTTTCCATTTGGGGACCATAAATTTAAGTTAAACATAAGGATACATAATGCTAGGAGATACAAGCTGTCTTTTAAGATAGTACAAATTAATGACTGTTTTGTCCCATTCTACCACCTCAGGATTCTTTTACAATCACCCCTTAAATTTTCACTTCAGTTTGATGAAGTGCTTGTATGTATACATACTTGCAGTTATTAATTATTAATGTTACAGTCCTGTAAAAAATCTTCAATGCCCCACTACAACTCTTACAGGCCTGTTGCAGTAATGCACAGCAGACACTGCTCATCCTGGCAGAAGCCAAGCCTCTGACTCATTAATGTGCTTACCACTTTCAATGCTGAGACTGCAGGGATCTTCCAGCTTTTCTACCTGGTCTGCGCAGGTGGACTGAGCTTTCCATGTGTTAGCAAAGGCAGACCCTGTAGCCTCAATCAGCCCACTGGTTGTTCTAAAGTCATCACCTTCCATTCCATTGAAGTTTCCACAAAGACCTATTTGAGAACAAGGTAAAAATTTCACATAAGCATTACTTAGTCTCATACTGAAAGGCCAAAGGAAAGGGACAACTGATCACAAACACTATAAACAGCTGATTATTCCACATCAATTTAATGCATAATATAAATACTGTGGTTTTAGATGCCCTGGTTTAAATCTTCCACATATTCAAGAATAGTAACCATGAAGATATCTGTGCTTCAAGAGATTACTACTCTAGCCCAAATTTTTTATGCTTTCTGATGATATTGAAACCACAAAATGCACTAAAAACCTGGTTTTGTGGATAGTTTACAAATAGACCAAATACAAAAGTAGGGAATATTCTAAGAAACACCTATGTACTGGCAATGATAGGTCATTTCAATATCAAAAAATAAAACCACATTTCTTGTTTGCTTGAGCCAGTTTTCTTTCTGTTTTCTCCCCTCAAATTAGCAAGTAGCATGAGTTATCACTCCTATAAAGAATACATGATTATTCAGCTGTGAAACAGCATGACTTTGCTTCCCATTTGCATAGATACTTGCCTTGAAGTTTTCCTTTAACTGACTGATCCACAGTCACAAACAGCTGCATGACTCGAAACAGCTGGATCTGCATCTGAAGCCCAAATGGAGTTTGTACAACAAAGTAGTTGGAAGACGGCTTGAATACTGAGAAGCTGGCTGCAAAACAAAACATGAACTGTTGTAATGAACAAGTACACACAGGCTGCCAAAAGAAACACTTCTTATTAGATTCTCATGTGTCACCCAGCATGAAATCTCTGAGACCAGGATTGAATTAATATCTTTTTTCCTTTAAAAATCACTGGCCAAGTAGATATGATGCTGGTGCTTAAAGACTTAACAAGTTGATTACTTATAAAGGCTGGTCTCTGGGATCAGAACCAAATGGGCATGCCCACACCATGAAACCAGGTTTGGAAAGTGCTAAATACCCCTCTTCCACTTTTGCCTATATAAAAATACACCTCTCCATGAGAAGCCAGGTGCGTGACACTTGACATACAAGGCTGTGTCCCTTACTTGACACATGAGGCACATTCACTGTCATCTCGTTCAGGAGCACGCTGCCATCTGTTCTGAAAACCACCACCTGTGTAACAGCAAATGTAATCAATGAGGTTCCAGGGACTGGTGAAAACTAAGATTTTACAAATACAAAGAAGATTAACAGAGAGGACATTTACATATTTAGGATCTGTCTAGATCTCCAAATTTTTGAAAAGAAAAATCTATTTGGAAATAGAACATGGCAGCAGCTCTATAGATTATATGGTCTATATATTCTCATAAACAAAGAGACCACTAAAGTGAGTATTTGAGAAGGCTGGATTGTATCACCATTCAAAGACAAGATTTCTTCTGAAAAAGACTCAATTAGAACTATAAAATTATATCTGAATGAAGAAAAAAAATTATGAGAATGGTGGAAAAGAATAGGTACCCTTCCTTCCAGACACCTGGAATTCTGTGAGAAAAATCATAACACACCGAGCAGAGAAAAGAAGAGGGGGAAATGTCAGTTGTTTTGAATCTCATATTTTTTTAAGTTTAGGTTTATTTTGAATTCTCGGGGCAGAAATCTGAGCTGTTTGTCAGCCTGTCTGAAGTTCCTTATCTATCCACAATTATGACTCCAGAAGAAAAAAGTATTCACTCACATTAAGGGAAATATGTTAATTTTCAACATATCTAGCAGAATCCACAGAACAGCACTTACATTTTTTTTGTTATCCACTAACAGCACAATAGTCTTCAAGCAGGTCTGTTTGTCTGTGGAGCCACAGGGAGCCAGTTCTGCCAGGAGAGCATAACTCTCATTTGCAGTACCCTACAATCACAGGGAAAGAAATGTCCATTAGTCATATTAAAAATCTCATGAAATTATTTCCACAACAAAGACTGAATTCATCAGTTGCAATAACTTTCCTAGCTCAACAAGATTTTCCTCATTCTCTAGAAAAACTGACACCAGATATTTTAGGGATAAATGAAACAGCTGCCTACCTCTTTTCCCCACCTGACTTTGACACTCAGAAGCAGCTATTACAGAAGTGGCCAAGAAATTCTTTCTATTTCATACATACAAAGGACTTCACTGGATAATGACAGCAAAGGCAGTCTTCTATCTCACTGAATTAATCACTCATTGCAATAAGTCCTCAGCTTTATCGTATGGCAATTAGAGCTAAATCCTGAATTTTCTAGTACAACTTCCAGCATTTTGGTTTCCCTCACCCAATGGAAGTGGACTAGACCAATAGCTCCCAGCTGATACACATCAGCCTACAGACACTGTTTTACTCTACAAGAGAATAGCCCCACTGTACACAGTACCTTGGCCAACACATAGTAGCAGTCTCCATGGAAGGTGTATTTCTTCCCATCAAAGGTGGTAAAATGGGAACCTCCTTCCACTGAGCATGTGCCTGGGCAGGGTAGATCTTTGCAGGTCCATCTGCCTGAATTGCAGGTGCTATAAACAGACAAATAATACAAAAAATACTTGTAGTTATTACAGGAGTTGAGAGCACTGAAATCTGTATCTTTGGTAACCAGCAAGCTATCTCCAGGTGTTTTAAAACTGTATCCTTGACCTTTTCTTTGAGATTTTCCCTCTGACATATGCCATAGAAACTTACCAGAAATTCTGTTCTATAGACACGCAACATAAACATTAAATTCAGAGAGTTTTCAGAACATCTCCTATGACCATGTGGAAATTTGAAAAATACAGGCCCATTTACAAACATTCAAAGAAAGGTGTACAACCACCAGGATCCTTACCATTCTTCACATTCTTTGGAAATGCTTTCTCCAGGTGCATAACTCTTTCCACCAAGTTTGCAGTAGCACTGGCTAACAGGGATGCAGCCTTTTTCACTGATATCATCATACACAGTTCCTATAAAACACAACATTAACTATTCCAGCTCTTTTTCAAATAAGCAATTTCAACAGGGGAAAAACTCTAATTTGCCACACAGGCTGAGGTTATCTAAACTTTGAAGAATACTGGTTCTATTTTTTGCAATATAAGACAGATAGAAAACACTTTGATTCAGCTTTGAAAACTCAAGTCTGTTCATTTATATAGCTATACACAGATAAAAAGGTTATTGCAAGCAAATAAGAAAAATCTGAGAATGACACATGTTTAGATTCTTAGTCTTTTTGGCTGTGAAGACTATCACTGTAATCTTTCCTAAGGTAGAGAGCAAGCCTGAGAATTTCACTCACTGTCCATCACTGCCACTCTCCAGGCAAATGGTGTCCATTGTCTCAGAACTATTCAACTTAAAAAGTGTGATTTACTATATAGTATCAAAAACCCACTTGTTGAGAATTAACAAGCAGGTCTATTACCTGTCACTGTGTCAATATGTTTGAACTATAAATTAATTAATTAATTGATCAATTATTACCTCCTTAGAAAATTTTCAAGTTATTTTCCTCAAGGGGGGGAAATACTGAGTAGCACAACTCTTTTCCAAGATATAATTTGACTACATATAGTATTTTCGTATGACTTCCTTAGCCAGGGCTCTTGATTTTGTCCCAAGTGCAACAGCTGGAGTGACACTTGCCTTCAGGGCAGAAACAGCCATCCATGTAGTGCTCCTCACAAAGGCTGCTGATCTGCAAGTGTGAGCAAGTATCCATGCAGGGTGAGCTGCTTTCTCTATAGACCATGGTAGCAGGACAGGTCTTGGCTGAAAAAATAAGATCCCAGGAGTTATTTGAGTGTTAAGTTCATCATTCCTGAGAAACCACATCCTACTCCCTTCAAGTCAGTGGTGTCTCAAGCCACATTCTACATGGCAAAGCATGTTCATCTAAATCTGAACTGCTTTCCCTTGTTTTTATATTTACTTCTTTTGGTTTCAACTAGATCATATTATTCCCATCTCCTGCAACATCAAATCTCAGGTTTTTTAATGGGAACAGAATTTGCTGAAAAATATTTCTTAGTAGTAAAAGTAACAGAAGAAGAAAACAGGGACACCATAATATTTTTAGCACTACTGATATGAAATTTATAATACATCCCAACAGCTTTGTAAATAAGTAGTGCATTTAAATTTCATGGCACTACATGCACGAAACCTTTGGATCTTTGTAAAATTTGTGCAGCTGCTTACGGCAGAAGCTCTGTGTCCTCCATTCTCCCGGGCGGCCGCCTGCGTGCGAGCACTGGCGGGAATACTCGGAGATGGTGCTGCAGAGGCAGAAGGAGTCGTCCTTCCCATTGCAGGCACACTTGTCCTGCATGCACGCTTGGATGTACATCTCCAAATTAAGACGCAGCCGACAATCAGCAAATGCAGAGGAGGTCAGCAACTTCTGACACTCGTCACGCTGAGGAGGAAGAGGAACAATGTTGAAGAGATTTACAGATATCTGAGCTTCTGGACATTTCTTATCTCACAAAAAAATACCTGTTGTCTTTTGAATAGCTAGGAAAAAGTAACCATATATTTTGGAAGGGACGGTCCTCCCAGCTCCTTGCAACTAACTCCCTTGTTCACAAGGATCTCTCCATGTGTCCATGTGAAGGAATTTCACCACAAGTAATACTTACATGCTCATTACAGCTTGGAAGAGCCTGAGTTTCATCTGGATCCTCACATTTGGAATTGGGTTTGCTGATCTTCTGCATATTCCCATATGTAATTGAATTGTAGCTTGCATCTATGAGAAAAAAATAGAAAGAAAACTTGCAGAGCCCCAAAAATTGACAACAAGGAGCACCCGATTTCTGGAACGCTACTGATCAAGGGAAACAAATATGCCTGTTAGACACAGGTACCTGCTCTGCATGATGTCTAACTGTGCTTAAAAATGTAAAGAGGAAACAGGAAAAGAAGGCTAGTAAAGAACAAAAAGATTAATCTGGGAGAGAATAAACTTAGAATGCAGGAATTCCAGGAATGCAGAATTGGAACTTTATGTTTAGTCTGGGGCAATCACAGAAACCTCTCAAGTGAAATTTGCTCTCCTGTGATGTTTCTATGCACAGGGCTTGTCAGCCTATCTCTGGGGACAACTGTCAACATGGTGGGATAACGCACCTCCCTTGATGAACTCATTGTAGATTTGAATGCCATTGTAATCCCCACAGAGACCACAGGTATGGTTATTAAATTTGTTGTCCAGCTCCACCTAAATAACAAAAAGAAAAAGGAAAAACAGAAAAGAATTAGCTTTTTCTTCTTCCTTTTTTCCCCCTCTTTTTTTTTTTCCTACTGAGATAGAGAAATATCCCAGGAAACCCAGGAAATACCAATTAAAAATACTTTGATCATACATACCATCAGGGCATCCTGCTGGTTCCACATCAGAACCATGCCTAATTTGGCATAAATCTTGGTGTAAATTTCATTGCTCTCAATGAGGACACCAGAGGAGTAGTAAGGTGTCTTCACACTAGGAAGAAAATCACAGGCTTTGCATTAGTTAGGAAACATAAGGGCTGACATGAATGTCAGTAATAAGCCAAATACCCCAAGGAATAGAGAAACTAGTCTAACTACCTCATTCTAACTGCACAGGGTGCCTTGTTTTAATGAGGCATAAAGTCTTCTCTTTCTGACACTCGGGACAATAACTCATAGCAAAAACTCATTTAAAAGTCAAAGCCATTTCAGAGGAAAAGCCTACCCAACACTTTGGGCTCTTTAACTTAAAAAATACCAAAATGTCAGACACTTTCAAATTAATCAAAGAAAAACCATCATCATTGTGTTATTAACAGAGGATATTCAAACATTCACTAAAAATTTACATCAATGAATGGAGCTACAACATAATTTACAGTGTTTCTTTGCCAAAATATCTCATAACCATTTCAGAGAGAATTAATGTTCCATTGCAAGAAACTGCCTCTTTTAGAAAGAGTTCAGAATGCACAGGCAGTTACAGGGACTGCCAACAAAATTTTCAAAAGAAAGGAACATGTTAAGAGGAATTCAGTAACTCTTCTCTAGTTAGTTAGTTTTAACTGGACAGGACTGAGCTTGTTAATGGTGACAAAAGACACTTTGCAGAAGGCTAAGCATAGATATTTTTGTGTGATAACAATTTGTGTCTGTCTTACAAATAAACTGAACTGCTGAATTTCATTCAGCAATAAAATAATTGTGGCAGGCAGTCTTATCCTATAAAATCCAGAAAACTAGAGTCTGCTCAAATAGAAGCAATGTAAACTGGAGTCCAGTCAAAATAACTGGTTATTTTTTCTACAAATTTATCAATGTAATTGTTATCCATCAAGATTCATGCATGTGTATGCACATCTCTTAACTAGTCTCTTTACTGGGAGAACTTTATCTTCTGATTTGCTGTTAGTGGAGTTTTTACAGCTATTTAGCTCAGGCATTTTTTAACATGCCCAAATGACTTACACATTTAGATGCAAACTCAGAGATCATTATTTCTGCTTTTGACTGCATTGTTCATCAATAAACAATGAAGTCTTGAGGGATTATGTTTCTTGAGGGGAAATATAAAATGTTGGACATCTTTTCAGCTTTTAGCTATCACAGCATGGAATATTTATCTTTTTTTTCTAATAGTAGGACATTCAATCAATCAGTGGATCAGGTACCTGAAGGCTAATCCATACACTTTTCTACTTTACAGTTTTCACTTCAGCACAGTGAAATGCTATTTTGCATGACAATAGGTAATTTATCATTTCAGAAGCAATATGGAAAATTAAGTTCTACCAAAAAAAAAAAAATTCTCAGAGCAGCAAAACAGTTTGGCAGGGACCTGCTGTTTTATGACAATAAAATCTATCTAAGGCAAAAATGGCTTCGTTCAAGAGAAACAGTTTTAAAAGGACTTCTAACTTGTTTCTCATAGAGTTCTTTTTAAGACTTGAATGCACAATAAAGAGCTTTTTCAATTTGAGGCAGTAATGCATTTTATTATGCATTCTAGTATGATCTTTGGAAAACTGAATGTTACTTTCAATTGTTGAACATATTTTCATTGCAGTGTCTTCCAAACGTTAGAGAAAAAGCTGAATTTTGGGCAAAATTGAGTTCTCCAATGACAATTAAAAAGTTCTCTTTTTTTCAATTATGCTAAAACATACTAATTAACTCATGAGTTTCCTCACTTGATTCAGAGTATAAAGGCACACACTACAAGGATAAGCTAATGATAGGAAAGACCAGGTTAAGACACTACTTAGCATCAGTAATGTGTCACACAAGTTTCTTGTGTAATAATGTTAAAAGAGGAGAAAAATAACACTGCTCAGTCTGAAAAAGTACATAGTGGCACAGATAAATTGCTGTGAATTTTGACCTGTGTTATATCTGTTAAATTCTGTTAAGGAATGGCCATCAGATCTTTAAGAATTATGTATGAAGATCAGAAAAACTACCTCTCTTCTGTCAGAAAATAAGAGGAGAAGACCCCAGAGAAATGCATTTCCTTTTCAAGGATTTGCTAGACCATCTGCTAAGGTAAACTCAAGATGATGCCATTAAACAAATGAAGCTATGTCATTTTAAGCCAGTGAAAAATCTGGCTCATGAGCTGCACTGTTTTCTGCACAACTGGAAGAACAATTTGCTCAAACCTATTCCTGACTTGTATTTAAATAATTCCTTATGCCAGTGTAGAAATGACAATTAGTACTAAAGCCCCTCCCCAAAGCAATTTTAATGCTGAATTTCAAAAGGCTTTTTTGTTTGTTTATTTGTTTGTTTGTCTGTGGAAATGCTTTGCAGCAGTTTCTGTAATGGCACACAGACAGTTGCGTAAAGAATCAATCCTGCTTTTATCTTGCCAGCACATTTCTCTGAATACCATTATAGCAAAGGAACTTACATCCGCCCATCCACCACAACCAGGTTGGGTTTGAGGTAGACCATTATATCCTTGATTTTCATCAGAATATACTGGATCTCAGGATGGCCATTGCTGTCGAGAGCACGCTGGATGTGGACAGAGAACTCCTTGTAAGCCTCTCGGCAGTCAGAAACAAAATTATACTCGCAAAGGCCAGGGAATTGGTAGACATCTCCATCAAAAGTCTTGAAATGGTTGTTTCCCCAAGTGCTGCAGACATAGTGGCCATGGCTTCTTGTCCTTCCTGTTAAGTGATGAAAAAGAAATAGAGATGAAAAGAAGTGCAAGAAATTATCTAGTGTGAAAAATTGTAAGTGTTCTGTTTTACAGTAAGAACCACCTGCAATTATGTTCACAGTGACTCCATGGATTTCAAGCGGGATCAAGGATCTGCCAGGTCAGCAGAAAATATGGAAATCTCAAAAGCAGAAGAAGATGTTAATAAATAATTCTGAGACCAGGGTATATCCTATAATTTTCACTGAAGTGAAGGAACTTATCTGCATGAAGTGTGGAAACTTAATACTGACCTCTAACTTGGCTTCTGTGTCAAGCATATGATTTTATTTTGAATCTCAGTATTATTTTTATCAATATTAAATTTTTCCAAGAACTATCTTCTTTCCTGGTGCAACACATACTAGAAACAAAACAGGTAGGAAAACAAGAAAGTACTACCTACTCTGGAAGGCTAATATTTTAAATGTTATGAAAGGGCTTATGCACAACAGGAGATTTCAGTGAAATATTTATTTTCTTAAAAGCAGTAGTGATTTCTATTACTGCAAGACAGAAGCTTTCAGAAGATAGGTCAGAAAGTAGCCATGGTAGGAGGGAAAAAAAGTTTTTGCAATAGCAAAATATGAAGATTATTTGTTCCTTTCCCTGCCATCTATACCAACAAAAAATACAAATTAACAACAATATCTGATCAATCTCCAGATACTATAGATCAGGGGTGAATCATAAAAGCTGAGCATCCTTAGGAATCTTAATGTTTCAAAAGATTTTCTTGAAGCATTTAACATGAGAAAGCAAAACTGCTAAGAAAACCCCTAGGTTACTGTATTTTGATGGATGTATCAGTCATACCAGATACATCCAGCCAAGCTGGAACACTTCCCTCCCCAGAAGGAAGGCTGCACAGAGATTCTCCCAGAGTTCACAGCTGGAAGACCAAATGCAAGGTAAAGCTTTCCACCCATTGCTGAATTCAAGACACAGCAGACCAATAGCCCAAACCTGATCAATGGATATAATTAATCACCTATTCCTCTAAAAACCAGTTTTCAGTAAGAATGCTCCATTCCATCACTTCAAATTCGATAGCAAATACTGTAAGTTAGAGCTTTTGCAAAAGGGTTAAAAATGTCCTAAATGACAAAATAAGGTTTTTTTTCAATGTTATTAACATTCATTTTTGAGGAACAATTTATGCTGTTCCAAAGCAACAGAAGACACAATCATCCACCTCCTTCATTACTTTAGCAATGAACCTCTCAAAGTCCTACAGTTCCTTTCTTGCCGTACCTAGTAAAGACTCAATGGAAAGAAAGGCAACACTGAAAATATTTTCCAAGCACATCAAACTATGAATCAATGCAGTAGAGATAGGCACTAATCTCTCCAAAGAAAGTAGGATCTACCAATTTTGTCCAAGCAATACAGCCTCAGTATTTGAAAGCTTAAGCGATTTAAGGCATCCTAAAACTCCAGATCATTGTTTAAATGCACAGCCTCCTTCTAGCTCCGCAACAATATTTTAACTCTCTCCCTCTTTTCCAGTCTGCTACCACTTCATCTCCAGAGCTTACCTTTTCTTATTTCACTAGCAGAGGAAAGAGCCAGCCAGAGGAGGAAGAGGCTGGCCGCTCTTAACCCCATGGTGGCTAAGGTGGGTGAATGGGAACTCCACTGGAAACTCAGCTTTTTATAATACCCACTGAGGCAATTGATTCTGTCACAGGGGAGGAGATTCACAGGGAGGGGGCAAGAGGAGGGGTGAAAAAACAGGTGTGATATTTGCAGAAGATAAGAAGTAAACAGACAATCGTTTTTCACCATAAATGAAGGAATTCAGCATACAGGAAACTATAATATTGATTCAGTAATCACGTAATTTTTTATTGCTCTACTTCATCTACAGGATGCTGTGCTTTTAAATCCTTCAAATGCTCACATCAAGTTTAACCTTCAGTAACTCCCATAACAAATAATGAATTTTGGGGTGGCTGAACAAAGAAATTCCTTGAAGAAATTTTAAGGTGAGACCCTAAAATAAAGGCTTCAAAAGCAAAGAATTTTTCATTTTTCATCATCACATAGAATAATTTCTGTAAAAATTAAGTGATGCTTGTGAAGAATGTTGTAATTAACAGTAACTCTTACAAATAAACTGGCACATCATGTGTTGTAGAATTATTTTGCAGGCAATTATTGGATTTCCTTAATTTTTACGCCTCTTGGGAACATCTAAACCAAAATACTGACCATACTGCATATTTTGCCTAAAATATAATTGAGACTGGGTGACATAGTAGGTTCAAGGATTTTACAGTAAAAGAGGTGCTCTTTCAAACTTTATCATGGTGTAACAGAATGTCCACCAAAGTAGTAGAAATTCTCACATAATATTAAGCTTTAGACAAAAAGGAAAAAGAAGGATAAATGGAAAAACATTACTGTTCTTAATCCCCCTAAACATTCTTGCTCATTCTGGCTAACTTTCTACATAAATGATAATATTACAGCCTGCTCTCCCACATCAGATCCTACAAAAGCTGTAGGGTCAACTTTGCTTTGTGCAGAGAAAGACATTCCTTGGGAGAAGAAGAAAGAAAGCACAAAACAGAATCAGGAACCAGTTCGGAATGCTGCTTTAGAAATACAGGATTTCCACATGCACATTATTTTGTGCCGAAAAGTTCCTTTTAGAAGGTCTTTCTGCAGCTCTCTCCAAGAGACGAAGCACAGGCTCCTTGAGGTAAAGGCACGCTTCCTTCAAGACATCTTGTAACATATCTGCTTCCAGTCTCTACATTTCCTCATCAAAAAATTTTCAATTCAGTGACCAGATTTTCAATGCAGAAATCTGTAATTTTCAATGCAGAAATAATTTCATTTTTCAGTGCAGAAATCTGCAACCCACTTGATCATTTAAAGTATTTGTTACTTTCATTGATCATATTACAAGTAAAACTTTTATGTTTTTCAAAACACCAAGGAAACTTTTTACTTAGCACTTTTGACTGCTCTTGTCAACTAGAAACATTCTCTTATCATAAAAGAATATTCTTTAGTTGCTATTTTTTTATTAAATGATTTTATCCCAATTATAGCCTAGACTTTATCTGAACATCTTCCTGTTTTCCCTCAATACATCTCAAAAGGTTTTAGATTTTCTCCTTTCTCTATTTGAGAATACAAATTTGTGCTTCTCTTATCCTTACATAGCATATCACTCAACAATCCTGACTGAAATTAAGTAGGAACCCTTTACTCTCTTCTGAATCTCTCACTGGAAGAATATAGCTTTATTTTCCTTCTTGGGAAATAAAAATAAACCCAGTAATAACCACTCAGAACCAACCACTCATAGAAAACAAAGCAAAACCACAGGCTACAGAGATCTTTGCTCAGTGGTTACTTTATCAAACCCAACTTTTTATGATAACTCAGAGACATCGCCTCACTTGGCATTTTATGTCTTTTATGCCACCAAAACTATTAGTTTGGAAGTGTTTTCTAAAATTACTTAGGAGATTCCCAAAGGACTTGTTTTTAAGATTTTCTTATTCTCCCTGTGTTTTTCTAGATAGTCTCCCAGCTAGAACTATCTCCTCAGAAGAAAAAGGGTTTCCATGACCTAATTCCTATACAGTCTTTGCAAACTGCAACAGCATCTCCATGTACACAGCAAACATGACCCTTTTTCAGATTGAACAGGATGTGTATGCTGACAGGTGTAAGCTGGAAACTTGCATATTTTCCACTCGGGTTTCTTTGCCACAAAACTTCTAGATCTCAACGGAATCAGTCTCATTAATTTCTTGTGACTGGGAAAGATAATCATCCCTCAATTGCAGTTGCACCATTCCTCAGTTCAATATGCTGGTATTTTTATAATTTTAATATATTCTGTGTAGGAGAAGAGCTATTTTTAGCTAAGCACCTCCAAATTTTAGAGACTGATTTACTCTGCTCCAGCTTTGTCCTGCCTGTACAGGGAGCATGATTCCTTCTTGAGCTATGAAGTTACACATGACAATTTTCCTTCTGCAGTCTTTGCTTCTCAGATTGGCCAACAACTTCCCATTGTCCCTTCTTCTGACATATATGGGGCTTGCTGTGACACCCCTAACTGGAGAATAAGGGACATCAGCATGTCTTTCAGCACTGAGATCACTCTTACAGAATTCATACTTGAGCTTACATGGTTATGATGATCTGAAGAGAAATAAATTCAGATCCTTATCTCCAAAAGTCCCAGGTATTTGTACTTTTGCTAGCATTAGAAGGTGTCCTAAACTATACTGTCTCTGTTTCCTTATTGACAGAAGGGTAACGATCCTGTCTACCATCTGTTTTATACGTTTTTCAGAAATAATCAGTCTTTGAGTTAGACATCATAGCCTGGTTTATTTCTTGCTCAGCTACCTTAAGGGTTTTTGGACTTTATATTTTAACCCAAAAGAACCTGATTGGTAATGCACAGATAACATCTTTATGCATGCATTAACTTATTTACCATAAACTGTTTCACAGCCTGAACTAACCAGTCATTTTGCAACAAAGTTAATTCCACTTTATCACTACCATCTTTTCCCTAAGCTTACATAAGTAATATATACCTGAGTTGACCTTTCTGTAGAATTTTGTGCCATTCCTGCTTCCAGTCAGCTTAATCAGAAGTCACCTTCCTCTTTCCAATTTTGGTCAGGTGTTCAGATGCTTTTATTACCAAAGATATTACTTATAATTCTGCATGCTGTCACTATGCAAGTGGCAACAGAGCTAGGACAAGAAGAAGGATTTCAATGTTTAGATTCCACAGCTGAGCATTAACAGAGATGGTTTTTTAAAAGCTCCTGAAGCCCGTGAGTAGCTGTACAACTTCCCATAAGCTTTCACTATATGCCTGACCTAGAAGCCCCAACACCAGTGCTACAAAAATCACTGCTAAAATCCAAAGCATAAAAAAGAAAAGTTGGTTGCTTGGCAAGTGTGTTTGTTGCAGCAGCAGACGCAAAAGCAGAGATAAAAGATGTGTTTTGAGTCATGGTTATGTCATTGCATTGTTTCCCTACTCTTAAACTTTTATGAGACTATTTCAAATCGTTCCATCAGCATAGTTAACATTTAATGTTCATTTAGTTACAGGGTAAATTTATTTTGTGATATACTTGTTGTTAAAAAGAGAATCTACATGGAAGATTATCTTCATTCTGAATCACACTGCAGAATAAAAGAGCCTATATGTATCATTTATATAACTTTAAGATAAAATTCAGCTGAGACCTGACTGGGTTTATTGTTTTAGGAAGAATAAACAATTTTTCAAGAATGTGGGGTCTGTTTCTATCAGTTAACATATCAAGAAGAAATCTAATTGCAGTCTTGCCACAGCAATCACAGGATGACCACTGTACAAATACCTCAAAAAGTACAATTACACTTGGTGACTGAGGCCTTTTCCTTATCTGCTTTTGTAGTCCTGACTTGCTGATCACAGGCTGCCAAGCCAAGCAGCAATGTTCTACCAGTAACGTTGTTCTGCAGAAGTGGCCATAGGGTTTTTTTCTCCTACTCTTCCGCCTGCCAGAATTTCACCAGAGCACACACAGCCTTGCACATGACCATACAACAGCACATCATTCCTTTTATTTCAAGCACAGAGATCATCTGAACTGAGTTGCTGGAACTCCCTTGGCAGCCATTGTAAAATTGCTCTGGTAAAATCTAGTCAAATTATGAATTCAGAGATGTAGCGTATACAATCACTGTATTTCCTTGACTGAGGCATTTAAGCCCCCTATGGCACACCTTGACAAAAACTTAACCAGAAACAGAGACTAGCAGCAGTAGGCTGAGCAGTACATGGAAGTGTTAAAGCAATGACAGAGAAGTAATGGGAATGAATTTCATTTTGACATGCATGCTGCCAACAGATTAATCCAAAATTATCAATACAAAAGGAGCCAGCATTTAGATGGATGTAAAACTGATATAGAATCAATTTCATCACTGTGACCCTGAGCAGCTTTTGGGTTATGTGCCTTTCTTTTCATTCCAACAAATACAATATCATAAGGTACTTTCTGATGCTGGCTGTAGTATAATGTTCTTACATGCCCTTCCTTAAGTGGTTTGGCATAGAAATTTTAAGAATAGCATCCATTTTCCACTCATAGTACTTCCCTGTTTGGAAGTCAGCAGCTCATCCTCTGAGACTAAAGCTGCAAAACATTTCCTTCTCTTCCAGTTAGGTACAAGTGGGGATAAACATGTGACACACAATTACTGAAGATTAGGAAGGGATGTAGGAAATAACTTAAATTAGTACACTTTCCTACCAGCACTTAACTTCTGGAAAATTTTAGTCTGCAAAAAGCTTCTTCATAGCAGCTTCTACATCAATACACAAGGAAAAAATGCTTGATAATTTAAAATAATATTAGAGTTCTCTTTTGCTCAAGCATCGGTGGGATTTACTACAGGGAAATGGACTGATCCAAGAAGAGATAGCATGGAAAGGGCACCAAGGGAATTACACTTCACATCTTACTCTGGTAATACACATACCATACTCTGGTAATTTTACCCCAGGGGAATGGGATTTTCCAAATATTTTATTTTCTCTGTAGCAAAAGGTGGGGAAAACTATT